TTTCGTAACAGGCGCGGGTGGAGGGGGGGGGGGAACTTCCCCTCTCCTGACGGTTTTTACCGGGCTGACCAAGCCATCGTACCGGGCTGGGTAATAAGAAAGAGGTGAGAGGGAGGGGAAAAGGAAAGGAAAGAAAAAGAAAAGGAGAAGAGAAAAATAAAGACAAGAATAAAAAGGAAGATATCATAATGGCCAGACTCACAACACCCTGCAACCCCTTCTCCACTTCAAAAACTGTCATAACTCCTTTGATCTATGCTGCCCGATGGCGTACTCTGGGGGACAAGGGGAAAATATCTATCTTTGAAAAATCTTCCCCACCCCCTTATAGATGCCCTTTTCATCCCCTGAAAGTGCCTAAAAACCTCGTATTTCGCGAGCTTCGCGCGCATTTCTTGTTAACATGGACCAATTTCCTCTAAAAAATGCACATTTTAGGGAGTTTTCAATTCCAACGAAATTAGAATTAAAAACAATAGGGGAAAAAGGGGAAAATATCCATCTTTGGAAAATCTTTCCCCATCCCTTGATAAATGCATCCTCTGAAAGTGCCTAAAATTCTCAAATTCTTTGCACGCATTTCTTGTTACGGTAGGCCAATTTCCTCTATAAGTTGCACATTTTAGGGGGTTTTCATCAATTCCGACGAAAATAGAATTAAATGCCTTTTTTAGGTTTATCCTTTTAAGTTATTTAAACACATAATAGTCCCAAACTCAAGAAAGACAATTTAAGATAGATCGTTTTAACATAAAAGGGCCTCAATGTGTATTGTTGGTGAAAGAGTATGTTTGAAATAAATAAAACCATAATGAAAATGCTTATATTTAGTTTCCAACACACGTGTGTGGCCTATATTAAAAATAAGATAAGTCCATGTCTTATTGTTTTCCATGGGGAGTGGGGTGGGGTGGGTACGGTAAATTACTAACCGGGAAAATAAATACCCACTCTGATACAAGTGATACGCGCCTGGTGTTAGCGCCAATGTGTGCCCTTGTGCGGACAGGAGATGT